TCCCCAGCTAACCCTTCTTTCCTTTTAGGAGAAAGAAGAGCCTTCATGCTAAGATTTGACAAGTAGACTATGTTCCATTTTCTGGTGGTTTCCTTCAGGGTGAAGGAGGATAACTTATGGGAACTGAGGCCTGGTGTAGGCAACTAAGAAATATGGTATCTGAAAACTTAGAAATGCTGTATTTGCTTCAAAGACAAGCAACTGAATGCATTCTTTCCTAAGGGATACATTTTTCACCCCAGAATTCACAACTGGCTGACAGGATGCCCCAAAATGTAGATAGCAGGAAGTCTCCTTGTTTCAAGGATAAGGATCTGTTTTACGACAGGATGCATTTTTACCTGGAAACTCAGAGAATAACACTAGGTATAGTTAAAGCAAAGACACAACACCGAATTTTGCATAACTTAAAGCCAGACCCCCTGCCTTTACCTTATAAATACCCAACAGCCCAGGGAGCTGTGTGTCTCTCTGGGCGTCTCCATGTCTGACTCTGTGTCTTTGTGTCCCTATGAGAGGACTCACACTCTGCTAGTGTGTCCCTGCCCTTCTGTCTGCTTTTGTGTGTTTCCTTGTTTACTTAATAAACCTCTGCCAAGTTTTCTTACCATTGTGACTTGTCCAAACATTCTTATTCTGCCATCGAAGTCAAGAACCCTAAGTGAAGAGTTCCTGTATTTAAAGGGGAGCTTCACTAATCCTCACCTCTGTCCGGTGACAAGGGTAATTGGTTGCTCTACTTGGCGGAATTTAAGGACCAACATGACTGAATGAATAATCAATTCAGCAGGGAAACAGGAACTAGAACAAAGGTGGAACACCTAGCTTCCTGGGGCAGGGACCAAGTAACCCAAGTTCCAATTTGAGCCGCACTCGGCACACACACAGGAGAGAAGCAAAATGGCCTCATCTCTAAACTCAGCCCTGGAAGCGGGGTGGGGGAGAACGTCGGGCGGGAACCTACACGAATTAGTCCTTATTTCTTGCAAACGTACACAACACCGCTACTTTAAAATGCTGGGCCGGGGGAATAATCACGAACGCAGGAATCTGGAATCGCTCAGTACCTGATATTAAATTTGAAAGAAAATGGCTCGGTAAATCAAGGAAAAGTTTTAAAATGTAAAACAATAAAAAGAAAGACCCAGAGGACCAGGCTCCGGATGGCTGGGCGGTCCAAAACAAGGAAACGGAAGCAGGTTTCCGAGCAGCCGCAGGCTCTCAAAAGTCCGGGCGCGACTCCTTCAAGCGCACTGCGCATGTGTACTATGACGCTGCGCGTGCGCACTGCCACGTCACGCATGCGCAGACTAGCTTTGGGCCGGCGGTGGAGCCCCTGCTCTTGGCGATCGCGGTGGGGGCGTGGCTGTGTCACGTGACGTCCATTGCGGCATTTGTGGTCCAATCCGAGGCGTTCCGCAGAGCGCCCTTGTGAAGCAATTTGGGTAGCCCCGGTCTTAAATGAGCTGTGACCTGTTTTTCCTGCTTCTGGTTTTTCTTGCTCCTGGTTTCACTTCTGTTCTAGAATTTAGCAGCCTGACCTCGCAGAAAGTTTTTGCCTTGTGACGCGTGAGTCAGTCGAAGAGCAAGTGTCGAGCGCTTTTTAATTTTTGTCTCTGTAACAGAGTAGCATTTCCCTAGTGCCGAGTCCTATTGTTCTTCTACCCTAGACGCACAAATCCTATTCTTTCCACCTGAGGTTCCAGAGTCGCTGGGGGCGCCCATTGGTAAAAACAGCAGGCTCAGGAAAGGAAAGTTAAACAGGTTAATTTTTATCTCAAAGGTCAAGATAATTTGGAGGCAAGTGTCCCCAGGGACAACAAATAACTGATGTTGATTTCCGAAGAGATCACGGTCAAGTTAAAGCATTTAGTGAAATGTCGTGTTCTGTTCATACAAGCGTCCTATGGAGAGTCTGAAGTAGTGAGGTTGGGGTTAACTTGTTTGCTCCCGGAGTGCGGTGTGAGAAACAAGAACCTAGAGAAATGTAATCTTAACGGTGGAGTACTTTCGATGAAGTTAAAAACAAAATTAGGCAGTTGGCAGAGGCTTTGGTCTGCAAACTCAGTTACTGCAGAGATAGGAAGGATGTTGGTTTGGAGAGCCCACTTGGGTGGGGACCTATTTTAATCAATATCTAAGTGTGGTGAGCTAACCTGTCATTCCAGCTACTTTGGGAAGTATAAATGGGATTGCTGGGCAAAAAGCAGAACCTATGTCAAAAATACCTATAACAAGACTGGGTGATAGAGTAGGAAACGCAAAGCTCTGAATTCAAGCTCTATTACTACCAAAAAAAGGGGGGGCGGTGAGAGGGAGAGAGCAAGCACGCAAGCAGACAGGCAAGAAAAGGAAGGGAAGGAAGGAAGGAAGGAGAAAAAGGAAGAGTCTGTGTTCTGGAGCTCTGATCCTTCCAATACTGACTGCTTCGGCCCAGGAAACTTGGCAGTAGATCCTGCCATACATTCCAATATAGATAGATGACTTAGTAAGATCACCAACTCTGATACAAAATTCCTCACCGGTAATCTTACTAAGAAGTATTTTACTACCAGGTACTGGTACCTGTACTGTAATCCTAACTAGTCAGATTGTGACCTGAGGAAAGAGATTTTTAGACAGCCTAGACAGAAAAGACTGAGATTCATCTCCAGATAACTAGCAAAAAGCCAGAAGTAGAGCTGTGGTTTAAATTGTAGAGCAACCAACCTTGAATGAAAAGCTAAGGACAGCACCCAGGCCCTCAGTTCAACCCCAAACACACACACACACACACACACACACACAATCTACATATAATCTTCAACACTGCAGAAACAAGTTTGCTCTTAGAATACTCTCAGAAAAGTGGTGATAAGGTAAAAAACACAATAAAAACACTGCACTTAGTTGGGCGCTGGTGGCTCATGCCTGTAATCCTAGCTACTCAGGAGGCTGAGATCTGAGGATCATGGTTCAAAGCCAACCCGGGCAGGAAAGACCATGAGACTCCAATTAACCACCAGAAAACCAGAAGTGGCTCTGTGGCTCAAGTGGTAGAACGCTAGCCTTGAGCTGAAAAGCTGAGGGACAGCCCCCAGGCCCAGAGTGCAAGCCCCACAAGGGACAAAAAAAAAAAAAAGAAATCACTGTACTTGCACTAAGTTCACTGCAGACCTGCAGTATGATAGGCCAGTTTCACTTGATTGCAGCTAGTCAGCCCTTAAGAACTATTTGTAAATACTAATGAAAAATTTATACTTGTTTCTGATTCTTTCCTAACTCAGAGTTGTTAAATGGAGTAATGCAATGTTAAGATCTAATCAAAAAAGTGACTTGAATGAAATAAAAGCATTATACCAGCATGTAATCTTTTTTTCTTCTTCTTTATGGTGCTAATTCTGAGGCTTGAACTCAGAGCATGCACTGTCCCTGGGCTTTTTTGATCAAGGTTAGCACTTTTGCCACTTAAGCTATAACTCCACTTCTGGTTCCTTCTTTGGTGGTTAATTGGGGATAAGTCTAATGGATTTTCTTGTCTGGGCTGACTCTGAACCTAGATTCTTGGATCTCAGCTTCCTGAGTACCTAGGATTACAGGCATGAGCCACCAGTGCCCAGAAGCATATATCTTCAAAGATTCTCCTCACATCAGCTCATTTTGTAATTGTTATTTTATAGTGAAACCTATTCTTGAAGTTTGGGCTATTCAATACACTAGTAATCCAAATAGCTACCTCAGACCAAAGTATTCATGCCATGTGCTCAAATCTTAGGTTGATTAGTACATGAAAAAGGCATGTGGTAGTACAAGGCTATATTAAGCAACAGCTGCAGAATACCATTACATCCAGTACATTCACAACGGTGGAAATCTCAAGCAACTGGAAGAATTAATGTGTCAGAGGTTTTCTTTGAAAACAAGGAATAAACAAGCTAAGAGTACCTAAGGCATGGCTCAAGTGGCAGAGCACCTGCCTACCAAGCAGATACAGTTCGCACCCCACTACCACCAAAAACAAATAAAAAATGTTGAATCAATGTCTCATTGAATCGCTTCATTATCTAATTATACTTGACATGACAGATTTAAGAGCTTTACATTTTTTAAGTATAAAATAAAAATCATATTAAGTAGTTACCTGTAAATTGAAAATACTTCAATATATGCCATCATCCAGAAAGCAAAATACTATAATCAAAATATCTTCTCTATGTAACCACATCATGAAAATACTTTTTTGATCAAGGTTAGCACTCTTGCCACTTAAGCCATAGTTCCACTCCAAAAAGCTCAAGAAGAGCAAGCATGAAAATACTTAGCTGGGAGGGCAGGGATGACAAGCGGAAACAAAGGAGGAGGCAACAATGCTTGATAAGAAATATACTCATTATCTTGCTCATGTAATTGTAACCGCTCTATACAGTATTTTCACAAAAAAAATAAAATACTTAGCTTGTGCCTTGAGGTTAAAAGAAATATTCCAGAACTGTCCACAAATTAAACATTTAAAAAATCATGTAAGGGGAAAAAAAAAACTAGAAAACAGAAAACAATGAATTATATGTATTTGTATATCCATTATCAAAAGATTCTTCAACAGATAGGTGCCAGTAGCTACACCTGGCTAATCCTAGCTACTTAGAAAACAGATCTGAAAAACGGGGTTCAAAGCCAGCCTAGGCTCCAGTGTTGGTAGCTGATGACTGGAATCAGGAAGTTGAGATCTGAGAATTGCATTTCACAACCAGCTAGGGCAGCAAAGTGACATTCATCGCCAATTAACCACCAAAAAACCAGAAGTAGCACTGTGGCTAGAAGTGGTAGACTGCTGGCCTTGAGCAAAAGAGCTCAAGAACAGCACTCAGGCCTGAGTTCAAGACCAGGGCAGATATACACACACAAAAAAGTTTTAAGAGTAAAACTAATAAATTTGAATAACTTTTTAATGTTTTTATTTTTAAAAGACCTTCAGAGCTACCAATGGTATTGCAGAAAAAGCAAATGTCATACACTGAAACTAATCATTATAACAAATCTTCAATTTATTTGAAGCAATTCAGTTTCAAAAACTTTTAAGTTACAGCAGTCACAAAAACCAGGGAATAGTCAGAAACAATGAAAGAATGATCAGGAGTACTGCATTTTTTTGAATTTTTTTTAACACTGTCATGGCTTTATTCAAAACACAGTTGCACAAAAGTATTCAAAATTTTAAGGAGAGATTCTTGAAGAACTTAACACATTATATACATACTGCCATACAAAGAGCATTAAAACAGGACCCAAAACTTCTACAAAATATAAACCCACCCTTACTTATTTGCATGAAAATACCACCCACAGAGCTAAGGAAGTCTTAAAAGTTATCTGGAGGCTCTAAATGTAGTCTTCAAACCAAAGAACTCTAATTTTGATTGCACAATAGATGATTGATAAGTCAATATATAGATTTCATTTTAAAATAAGCATTTTATAATTGGCAGAGTGAGAATGTTTTAGGAATGAACACAGGCATTTCAATTGATAAAATTAGGAGAGGAAAAAAATGTTCATCTTTTGGAGATTTCAATCTCTACCGCCAAATTTATCTCAAGTGTTTTATTTCAGTCAGTTGTGCAGCCTTTTTAGTTTGTCACAAACTTCATAAGTATTTTAAAACACTAAATTATATGTCTTAAAACAAAAAGGGAGTGACAGCAATACTATACTCAGTGATTTGTACCTCAGAGAGAACATCAAATTTGTCAAAGCTGTCTTGAACATGGAGCCTCCATGACCAAAGGGAGATAGACTTGTCTACTGTTTTAGTTAGTAGCCATATGAGGAAGAAACAATCACAAATATTTTTTCTATCTTTAATGGACAAACAATTTGAAAATAAATCTCAATTTTCCTACCAATTCAGTTTCAAATATTCTTCCAACTGCCTACTACACTCCAATGGGATACTTGCTTATGCTTTAAAACTATAGATAGGAAATTAAAGGTTCTACTCAAAAAAGCTGTAAATACTTTACAAGGTCAGTTTCCAACTCATTTTGGAAAACCAGTTTAAAAAATCCAGTCTCATCAACAGGCAATCACTCTGACTTTTGAGAAATGCTGATGCTACTTTCTAAAGCCTCCTCTACTTTTCTCTCTTTATTTTGATACAGTATTACATGTTATCAACCAACAAAGATTTAACAGTAAGCTGAGCTTGTTGCATAAAACTGTATTTTATCTAAGAAAATTCTCTAATTCTCCCACTTTTTTTTAAAACCCAGACAAGCCTGAAAAGGTACTTGAGGTATTAGACTAAAGGTTTTCTGGACAGCTGCAAGTTTCCCATCTTTCTTTTGGGATAAGAGAGGGAATGAAGCTAGAAGGGAAGCTAATCATAAAAAAAGACAGGTGTTTCTAAAACATAATAAAACCACTAGCATGTCATGATCTACAGCCTGAAGAAAGGACTCACCTGCAAGTCTCTGGACTTAGCATAAGCAATTTGTCCTTCCAAAACAAAATCTTCTCAGTCGCCATAAAAACTCATGGACTAATTACCCAAATCCATGAACTACACTAACTGCTACATGGACCTTTATTATTCTGATTCTACTTTCCAATTTATTCAAGAGACAAGATGGCCCCCAAATGCTTATATCCAGAATAAAATAAAAATCACTGCCTTCAAACTAAAAATCTGAATCACTGCTTAAAAAAAAGTCAACTTATCAATCAAGAGGCTATTTTCCTTTCATATGAGAGCTGACCATAATTTCAGTTAATTTATAAATAACTTTAAAACCTTATAAATGAAATGCACCAAACTATACCTGTGTAAAATTGATCATGTTTTAATTATGGGCTAAAAATGTCTAAGACAGTAAGCCTGAATTAGAAAAATTAAGATTCCAAATACATTGCTAGAGAATTGCACAATGGAGGGATGAGGGAGTTAATGAAAATTTTTCTCTACATACAACATGATCATTAGCAAACTAGTAAATCTTAATTGGAATGATAAGGCAAAAATAGTAAAACCACACTTCTCCTATAAAAAAGTTACAGATTATCTTCTGGTAGGGAGAGCTATCATACATGAAAAAGAAAGAAGATGTGATCACTCTGTTGCACACCCAGGAGATCTAGGAAATTGAATCTGAGAATGATCTAGTCATCTTCTTCTTCTCCATCATCCTCAGCATCTCGTTTTCTCTTCTCTCCACGAAGGCCTTCTTCTGAAAGAATGGAAGAAATGCAAATATTTAAAACAAATGAATGCTGCTGGGCACTGGTGGCTCACGCGTGTAATCATAGCTACTCAGGAGGCTGAGATCTGAGAATTACAGTTCAAAGCCAGCCCAGGCAGGAAAGTCCATGAGACTCTTATCTCCAATAAACCACCAGAAAACCAGAAGTGGCCCTATGGCACAAGAGGTAGAGCTCTAAGCCTGGAGCTGAAGAGCTGAGGGACAGCGCCCAGGCCCAGAGTTCAAGCCCCAGGAATAAAAAAAGCTTATTAAGTTACAAAGTCTTAGTGGAAAGTTAATAGCAGAAACAAAAAAATAGATTAAGTTTGCATCTGAGATCTTCAGTTTCAATGTAAACAATGTTTAAATGAACATATACAAGCGCACAGGAATCCATAAATAATGAATTTGCTATGCACTCTTGTGGCCAAATCATGAAGTACAGGTCAAGAAACAGCTTGCCAGAGCTAGATTTCTGAAAGGGCTAGGAAAAGAGCTCCAAAGAGCAAATCTAAAGGGTGTTAAATACTCTTGTAGATAAGGTTTCATTCCTTCAAAATAAAAGATCATTAAAAAATAATGAATTGAACATAGCTTACTGAGCTATCTCTTCACTCCTATTTTGTTTCTTTCTTTCTCTGGGGTTGTTTGTGCCTGCACCTAACCCAGACTGGCCTCCAGCTCATAACCACCCTGCCTCAGCTTCCCAAGGGCTGAGATTATAGGCATCAACCTCTACACACAGACTTCATTCCTTTTTTTTTTTTTCAGTGCTTGTCCTGAGCTTGAACTCAGGGTTTGGGCACCATCCCTACTTTAACTCAAGGCTGGTGCTTTATCACATGAGTCAAAGCTCTACTTTCAGCTTTTTGCTGGTTAATTGGAGATATAAGTCTCATGGACTTTTTTGCCCTGGCTCATTTTGAACCTTGATCCTCAGATCTCAACCTCCTAGGATTACAGGCATGAGCCACCAGTGCCCAGGTCGGTGCTGTTCTTAAGATATATGGTATCAGATGTTCAATTTTTTTTTTTAGTGGAATTAACTTAATGCCCTGAGAAATTACTCAAAGAGAAGTAATAGTTTGCATTATAGACTATTCCTTGAAAACCATTAAACATATTTGCATTTTAATTTCAAAATTTGTGGCTATTGTAGCTCACCTTCTTCCTCCTCTTCTTCCCCTTCTTCAACATAGTCATCATCATCTTCTTCATCCTTGAAATTCAAACATTCAGTTTAAAGAATAAATAAACCACGACACTGACTTTTCCATTTAACACATCTCAAAGAGCAAAGAGACCATACATACTCTGTGTCCTGATAACCACAACCTGTGCCTATCTAAGGTGTCTTTTACAAGAAAAAGACTAAGCCAGGTGCAGTGGCTCATACCTGTAATCCTAGTTATTCAGGAGGCTGAGATATGAGGGTTGCAGTACAGAAAGGAAAGTCCCTGAGATTCTTTTGTTGTTGGTGGTGGTGGTGGTGGGGCTTGAACTCTGGGCCTGGGCACTATCCCTCAGCTCTACAGCTTAAGGTAAGCACTCTATAACTTGAGCCATAGTGCCACTTGCAGTTTTCTGAGTGGTTTATTAAAGATGAGTCTCATGGACTTTCCTGCCCGGGCTGGCTTTGAACCGCAATCTCAGCCTCCTGAGTAGCTAGGATTACAGGTGTGAGCCACCGAAGCCTGGCTGTCTCTGAGATTCTTATCTCCAAGTAACCACCAGAAAACTGGAAGTGGCACTCTGGCTCAAGTAGTGGAGTGCTCACCTTGAGCTGAAAAGCTCAGGGACAGCTCAGGCCCAGAGTTTAAGCCTCACAACACAACAACAAAAAGAAAAGAAAAAAGAAACGAAGTAATGCTTTAGACCTCCACTGTTCAAATCAACCTTCTGCAACAATGTTCTCTATGTTTTATGTAACAGAGCGACTGCAGGCCATACATGGTTACTTACTCACAAGTAACCAGAGAAATATCAGGAATTGAGTTTTTTAGGGATTTTTATTTAATTAAATAGCAACAAAAAAGAGAGACTTTCTCACTACCTGGAAAATGACCTATGTAACTTGTGGACAGGGATGGGAGGGGGAAACTGGAGGAAAGTGAAGGAAGGGGTGACATTGTTTTAAAAAAGAAATATACTGTGCTGAGCGAGGTAAGCCAAGAGCAAAGAGACAAACAGCACATGGTGTCCCTGATAAGTGGATGTTAAATCCAACATGTAAGGTGATATGACAAAATTAACAAGACTTAAGAAACAAAGGACTTCCACCTATCTGGTCCAATCAATACTAAATAACCCATGCTGCTGATCACATATATGGTATATATGTGCACACCAGAGGGAAACCAGGAGGATGACACAGAACTAGAGGGAATCAGGGAAAAACATACAACAGCAGGACCCATCAGCTGCACTGGACATTGATCAAAATGAACTAAGCAACTCAATGGCAGCGATGGGAGGGAGGGAACAAGTGGGAAAGAGGGAGCAGCTGATGCTATGCAAAACAAAAGAAATGTACATATCACCCAATGTGGAAGAAATAACTGCATCGCAAAGCTCATAGAACTCATAATGTTATAGATCATGATAGGCAATTTACTCCATGAAAGTTAGAATGTGTTTGTGACTTTAACTAAGCATCACTATCCCACAATACTATGAAATTTGGGAAATTAAGTAATCATTTAATCACAATAAAAAATTGGGGGAAAAAAGGAATAGACTAATTACCTGATCCATAAAATGGTAATCCCTCCACATAATACTTCAATAGTAACAATGAAATTATATTAAAACACACACACATCAGGCACCAGTGGCTCACACCTGTAATCCTAGCTCCTCAGGAGGCTGAGATCTGAGGATCACAGTTCAAAGCCAGCAAGGGCAGGAAAGTCCATGAGATTCTTATCTCCAATAAACCACCAGAAAACTGGAAGTGGTGCTGTGGCTCAAGTGGTAGAGCACTAGCCTTGAGCTGAAGAGCTGAGGGACAGCACCAGGCCCAGAGAGTTCAAGCCCCATGACCAAAACAACAACAAAAAGATGAGACTTGGGTCTCATCTTCCCCATCTCATTATGTAGTTATAAATATTCCCCCCCCCCCCCACACACACACAAAAGAAGCAAATCAGATGAGGAAGGAAGCAGGGAAAACATGAGTATGTGCAGGAAGGAGGCTAGAGGGGGATGAATATGGTCAAAGTAGATTGTTTGCATATAATGAAAATAGAACAATGAAACCTGCAGAATTTTAGGAAAAGGGAAAGTGACAGAAGCCATTACATTGATTGGAATATACTATAAACAAATGTCACAATGAGATTTCCCCCTGTATAGTTAATGTATAATAATAAAAAACTTAAAAACAAAAATAAGAAATTTAAGCTGGACACCGGTGGCTCACGCCTGTAAGCCTAGCTACTCAGGAGGCTGAGATCTGAAGCTCACAATTCAAAGTCAGCCTGGGGAGAAAAAGTCCATGAGATTCTTAGCTCCAATTAACCACCAGAAAACCAAAGTGGCGCTGTGGCTCAAGTGGCAGAACACTAGTCACAAAGCTCAGGGACAGCACCCAGGCCCAGAGTTCAAGCCCCACGCCAGTACCCACCCCCCCCCCCCAGCAAAAAAAGAAATCTGAAACAATGAAGGGCTCATGCACTTCAGATAAAGTATACCCAGCCCATACTCCCTGCTCTGGCCCTCAGTCCACACAGAAAGACCTGCAAGTTCCTTCCACATCTAAATATTTACACAATAGAATATTGTGCTGCATTGAAAAATCATAGCAAAATGAACTTGAGATCCTTCTGCCTTTGCCTCCTAGGTTCTGGGATTACAGACATGAGCTGCCAGTGCCCAGCATGATCGCTTCTTTTATGGTTACTATTTTGATCATGGAAACTGTACAGATAAGCATATAATACACTGATTGCCTCAGAAGCTATATATGTAGGATGGTTTTCTTCTTTTCAAAATGGCCCTGGCCCACTTTCAAGTTTTTCTTTTTCTAGTTTTTATACCCTCTCCTTTGCAGGCAGTTACTATTTCAATTTTATTTTGCTATGAAACCAGAGTCTCCACTTCTTTTGCCCTGATTATTTTTTAAATTTTTTTAAAATTCACTTTTATTAGTTATACAGGGAGCAGGAAGTTCATTGTTACACCTCCACACATGTTCACACTAATTTCAATGCATCTCACTACTCTGGTTGTTTTTTTTTAATAGGGTCTTGCTTTTTGTTTTTTCATCTAGGCCAGTCCTATTTACTCTTCCCTGCATAGTTGGGATAATAGGAATGCACTACTACCACACTCAGTTTTTTCTGTTGAGATGAGGGTCATATAAATGTTTTGTCCAGGCTGGCCTGGATCCTCTGTCCTCCTACTAAGTAGCTAGTAATCTCGTCCTTCTAAGTAGCTAGTATCACAGTCATGAGCCACTAGTGCCTGGCCTAATCAGGTATAAAGGCTAAGAGGAAGGGTGATTGCTAAGAAAAAATATACAAAACTCCACACATAAAGTTTCACGGAAGTGAACATAAAACTAGTATGCTTTGCTTGCTGTGTAATGTTTATGTTTACTTCAACACAAGTCAAAATTAAGTTCATCAGGGAGCATGGGAAAAAATCATTTCAGACACAGTGAACAATGTATATACAACATAAGGCAAGTAATTTGATATTGAAAGAAATGAGGCTAGGGGGACTGGGAAGGTGGCTCAGTGGTAGAGCGCTTGCCTCACATGCATGAGGCCCTGGGTTCAATTCCTCAGCACCACATAAGCAGAAAAAGCTGGAAATGGCACTGTGGCTCAAGTGGTAGAGCACTAGCCTTGAACTGGACAGTGCCCAGGCCCAGAGTTCAGGCCCCACGACCAACAACAACAAAAAAAAAAAAAAGAAAGAAATGAGGCTAGGGAAGGAATCAAAGGCCATATTTAAGGAAGAATGTTGTATGTTTTAGTGACAACAGAGAAATGCTGAAGACCTCAAGAAAGCTAGTGATATGATCACATTTGCATCTGACTACACCTGAAGCACAGTGGAGGGGATTCCTAAGTGAAGACGCTGTATCAAGAGACCATTTAGAGAGCTATTGTAAGAGTATAAAGCAAGAGATAATTAGAGAGAAGAAATTAAGTTTTCTTAAGTATCTACAATGTGCCAAGGGCTAAATACCTCACAAACATTATCTTATTAAGTCCTTAATAACAATCCTTTAAGGTTGGCATAATCTCACTTCTATAAATGCAAAAGTATTTGTAATCTGTTTTCATCATACCATGCCATTGAAGGCAGGATAGATTTGAAAGCAATATACCTGGAAAAAAAATCAATAGGTATATATGATTAACTGGATACAGTATGGTAGGAAAAAAGATAGGCAAAAAAAAAAACCAAAAAACCCATGCATTTCCACAAGTTAACAAACAACTCAGATTTCTACACAATCACTTTTTTAGGACATAGTAGCCCTTCACCTAGGCAATTAATTTTCAGTGGAAGTATGTTCACCTGAATTTCTTCTTTCATTAAGTATGAAAGACCCACTTCCTCTTCTCCTTCTCCCAATTCTGAATCTGCTTCATCTTCATCTTCCTCTTCTTCTTCTTCCTCCTCCTCCTCCTCATATCCTTCAAGTAGACCAGTTTCATCTTCATCTTCATCTTCATCTTTTAAAATATTTTAAATTATTTTTTATTATTTTTTTTGTGCTTATAGTAGGGCTTGAACTCAGAGCCTAGGGACTATCCTTGAGCTTTTTTTTTTTTTTTTTTTTTTTTTTTTTTTGGTCGGCCGTGGGGCTTGAACTCTGGCCCTGGGCGCTGTCCCTCAGCTCTTCAGCTCAAGGCCAGCGCTCTACCACTTGAGCTACAGCGCCACTTCCGGTTTTTTTCTGGTGGTTTATTGGAGATAGGAGTCTCACGGTCTCTCCTGCCCGGGCTGGCTTTGAACCGCGATCCTCAGATCTCAGCCTCCTGAGTAGCTAGGATTACAGGCGTGAGCCACCAGCGCCCGGCTCCTTGAGCTTTTTTGCTCATTAATAGCACTCTATCACTAGAGCAACAGCTCCTCTTCCCTTTGTGGTAGTTAATTAGAAAGTGGTGCTGTGGCTCAAGTGGCAGAGTGATAGCCTTGAGCAAAGAAGTTCAGGGGTAAGCCAGGTGCTAGTGGCTCACGCCTGTAATCCTAGCTACTCAGGAGGCTGAGATCTGAGGCTCAAGGTTCAAAGCCAGCCCGGGCAGGAAAGTCTGTGAAACTCAACTCCAATTAACCACCAGAAAACCAGAAGTGGTGCTGTGGCTCAAGTGGTAGAAGGCTAGCCTTGAGTTGAAGAGCTGAGGGAAGCACCCAGGCCCAGGGTTCAAGCCCCACGACCGATCAAAAGAAGAAGAAGCTCAGAGGTAGTGCCCAGGCCCTGAGTTCCAGTCCCAGGACTAGCAAAAAACAAAAAATGATCCTCAGATCTCAGCCTCCTGAGTAGTAGATAGCATGAGTTACTGGTGCCCAGCAAAAATAGTTTTGAAAGATGAGCAAATCTCTAGGCAAATGTTTCTAGATAGCATATTGGCCTTTTAACCCTTTCCCAATCACTTTATTTTTTTTTATTTATTTGTTTTTTTTGGGTCCGGTCGCGGGGCCTGAACTCTGGGCCTGGGCGCTGTCCCTCAGCTCTTCAGCTCAAGGCTAGCGCTCTACCACTTGAGCCACAGCGCCACTTCCAGCTTTTTGCTTATGTGATGCTGAGGAATCGAACCCAGGGCCTCATGCATGCAAGGCAAGCACTCTACCACTGAGCCACCTTCCCAGCCCCTCCCAATCACTTTAAAGTCATGCCAATGGATGGAAAGTATTGTCAGTAACTTTTGACCATCATTGTGTCAAAAGTTGGTTGTTGATGGCTTTTGTTTTTGTTTTGTTTTACTTTTTGGTGCTAGTACTGGGGCTGGAATTCAGGGTCTGGGAACTGTCCCTTAGCTTTTTCACTCAAGGCTGGCACTCAAAAGACTTGAGCACAATTCCACTTCCTGGCTTTTTGGTGGCTAATTGAAAACAAGAGTCTCATAGACTTTTCTGCCCTGACTAGCTTCAAATTGCAATCCTCAGATCCTAGGCTCCTAAGGATTACAGATATGAGCCACTATACCCTGCTTTACACTTACTAAGATGGTACTCTATTGGTTAAGTCACGGTGCCAGCCCTTTTGCTTTGGTTATTTTTGAGATAGGATCTCACTTTATGCCTGGACTACAATACTATTTATGCTTCCCTGAGCCATTGGGATGACAGCTATGTGTCACTGAGCCCAGCCTGTTTCCTTTAACAGTGAAAAACTTTTTTAAACCAATAATAGAAAGCACTCTCCCATTACTTTTTTTTTTTTTTTTTTTGTTGGTCGTGGGGCTTGAACTCTGGGCCTGGGCGCTGTCCCTCAGCTCTTCAGCTCAAGGCGAGCATGCTACCACTTGAGCTACAGCGCCACTTCCGGTTTTCTGGTGGTTTATTGGAGATAGGAGTCTCACGGTCTCTCCTGCCCGGGCTGGCTTTGAACCGCGATCCTCAGATCTCAGCCTCCTGAGTAGCTAGGATTACAGGCGTGAGCCACCAGCGCCCGGCTCTCCCATTACTTTTAACATCTACTCTGCCATCTGATGTGAGTCTCCTTTTATCTGAAGAAAATATCTGTATTCCCTACCTAATTCAAGGATATTTTCATCACTTCAAAAAGAAGCCCCAGCCAGGCACCCAGTGGCTCATACTTGTAATCCCAGCTACTGCTCTACCATTTTTGAGCTACAGTGCCACCTCCAGTTTTCTGGTGGTTAATTGGGGATAAGAGTCTCATGGACGCCAGGCGCTGGTGGCTCACGCCTGTAATCCTAGCTACTCAGGAGGCTGAGATCTGAGGATCGAGGTTCAAAGCCAGCCCGGGCAAGAGAGACCATGAGACTCCTATCTCCAATAAAACCACCAGAAAACCGGAAGTGGCGCTGTAGCTCAAGTGGTAGAGCGCTCGCCTTGAGCTGAACAGCTGAGGGACAGCGCCCAGGCCCAGAGTTCAAGCCCCACAACCGACAAAAAAAAAAAAAAAAAGAGTCTCATGGACTTTCCTGCCCCAGCTGGCTTTGAACTGTGATCCTCAGAGCTCAGCCTCCTGAGTAGCTAGGAATTACAGGCATGAGCTACCAGTACCTAGCATCTATGAAGTCTTATTTCCAATTAACTAGCAAAAAGCTAGAAGTGAAGTTTTGGCTCACGTGGTAGAGCACAGGATCAGCACCTTGAGTTTAAGCTGTACTGGCATCAAAAAAACAAAAAGCAGGCTGGGAAGGGGCTCAGTGGTAGAATGCTTGCCTTGCATGCATGAGGCCCTGGGTTCGATTCTTCAGCACCACATAAGCAGAAAAAGCTGGAAGTGGCGCTGTGACTCAAGAGGTAGAAAGGTAGCCTTGAGCTGAAATGCTGAGACACAGTGCCCAGGCCCAGAACTCAAATCCCACAAGGACAACAACAACAACAAAAAAAAAAAAACCCTCCAGACTATCCAGGTTACAGTAGCACAGTTCTATAATCCTAGCTACTCAGAAAAGTTTAGATCTGAGGATCAAGGTTCAAAGCCATCCAGGGCACACAATTCTAAGACCCTCTTATCTCCAACTAACCACCAAACACAGGACTGGAGGTGTAGCTCAAGTAATAGAGCACCAACAGAGTGAACAAAGCTGAGCAAGAGCACAAAGCCCTAAGTTTCAGGATTGATACTGAAAAAAAAGGCTGTAGCCATGGATTTTTAATTTTTCTTGTCTTAGTAATATCTTACATGGGCTTTTTCTTACTGAAATCTCTAAGCCCAATCTAATTTTCATGACTAGCTTAGAGTCTATGATTCTGACACACTTAAGAGTACTAAGAATGATTACCCTCATCATCTTCCTCTTCCGAGTCTGGTGCTTCGTTATCCTCCTGATCAAATCCATCTAAGTATGTGATTTGCTGCAACAGCTCAAAAATACTTTCTCTGTAATCTTCCAGGTTTGTGATCTCACAGTTGAACAAGTCAAGACTTTTCAAATTTTTAAGATTTTGCTGGAAAAGTAAAGTTAAAATTTACAGTCAATACTTTAAATAGCACGTTCTTTTTTTTTTTTAATTTGTGGTCTAGAGGACATATATTTAAAACTGAAAGACAGTCCTGTATTTTTAGAATTTTATAAGGTAAATTTATCAAACACAACCAATTCTCTTAGTTAGACCTCTTTGGCATATAAATTCCAAATTTGTTTTGTTCAGTCTTACCTCTATCATCTACCTGTCTTAGTGTCTAATTTCATTGACTGACCCTGTATATAAATATTTGGAGGTGACAGTTCTTATTTTTTGAAATAAAGGTTTTCTTTTAGATGGGGGGGGGGGGGAGAGACTGGAATGAGCTGGGTACCTGGGACTTAAGACTGTAATCCTAACTACTCAGGAGGCTGAGATTTGAGGATTTCAAAGCCAGCCTAGGCAGGGAAGGCTTTCAGACTCTTACCTCTAGTAAACTACTTAGAAAAAAACAGGAAGTAGCACTGTGGCTCAAGTGACAGAGCACAAAGAGGCTCAGGAACAGAGCCCAGGCCCTGAGTTCAAGCCCCAAAGACTGGAGGGAGGAGGGGGTGAGAAGGCTGGAATGAAATCACATACCTATAATCCCAGCACCCTGGAGACAGGGTGAGGCAGGACAATCAAAGAATGCCTTAGCTGAGCACCTGTGACTTAAGCCTATAATCCTAACTACTCAGGAGGCTGAGATCTGAGGAGCAAGGTTCAAAGCCAGCCCAGAGGAAAGTCTGCAATACTCTCATCTCCAGTTAACCACTAAAAAGGTCAGAAGTGGAGCTGTGACTCAAGTGGTAGAACACTAATCTCGAGCACAAAAGGTCAGAAACAGCACCCAAGGGGCTGGGAAGGTGGCTCAGTGGTAGAGCGCTTGCCTTGCATGCATGAGGCCCGGGGTTTGATTCCTCAGCACCACATAAGCAAAAAGAAAAAGCCGGAAGTGGCACTGTGGCTCAAGTAGTAGAGCACTAGCCTTGAGCTGAAGAGCTGAGGGACAGCGCCCAGGCCCAGAGTTCAGGCCCCACGACCGGACCCCCCAAAAAAAAAAAAGAAAGAAAGAAAAGAAATAGCATCCAGGGCCTGAGGTTAAGTCCATGACCCGCTGCCCCGCCCCCCCCCCCCACACACACACAAAAAAAAAAAATCAAAGAGCAAACTCTTGAAACTGATAAAATTATTTTATCTTTGTTAAAATATCTTTTTCTTTTCTTTTCTTTTCTTTTTTTTTGTTGGTCATGAGGTCTGAACTCTGGGCCTGGGCGCTGTCCCTCAGCTCTTCAGCTCAAAGCTAGCACTCTACCACTTGAGCTACAGCACCACTTCTGGCCGTTTCTGTTTATGTGGTGCTGAGGAATCAAACCCAGGGCTTCAATGCATGTGAGGCAAGCACTCTACCACTAAGCCACCTTCCCAGCCCTCTTTTTGTTTTTTGATACCAGTACAGCTTGAACTCAGGACCTACTAGGTGCTTTTTTTTTTAAGACAGATTCTCACTATGCAAGTACAGGATGGCTCAAATTCATGATCCTCCAATTGAACCTTACAAATGCTGGGATTCCAACACTGGCTTGATATTGTATTCTAAGGGAAAAGAAAAGCAGTAACCATCTAGATTAGAAAATAAGAGATTCAGAAATTTCAAGAACTAGCACCAGTGGCTCACGCCTGTAACTCTAGCTATTCAGGAGGCTGAGATCTGAGGATTGAGGTTCAAAGCCAGCCCAGGCAAGAAAGTCTGTGAGACTCTTATCTCCAATAAACCACTAGAAAACTGGAAGTGGCACTGTGGCTCATGAGGTAGAGCACTTGTCTTGAGCTGAAGAGCGCAGGGACTGTGCCCAAGCCCAGAGTTCACTCCCACAACCGACCAAAAAAAACATTTTTTTCAAGAACTGAATAGAAATTAGAAAAACAGAAAACAAATCTCTGAAAAACTTACCAGAGCTTCCACAGTACTGAGGTCTTTGATTTTGTTTCCGCTCAGATTGAGGTAGGTAAGATTTGGACATTTCTCTGCCAGGACTTCCAAACCTCCAGAAATTATATTGTCACCAAGTTCCAACTATGTATTCAACATGGAGGGAGGAAAAAAAAAGAAGAATAAAGAAAAATAATGAAGGCTTAAGATGGCTCCAACATTTTACAAAGACACAAATTTGAAGAAAAACATGTGTATTCTCTCTGTTTCAAAAGACTGCCACTGTAAATCATCAATTTCCAAATTCCCATCTACATATGGCATGCAACACATTAGAACCCCTATACTGATGGACTTCTACGTTACATTTAGATTGCATGATACAGAGAAAAATATTTGGTAGATGTCAAATCCAAATTTTTGCCATATAACAAATGCATTAATAAATTTAAATTCCTAAAAGTATCATATCCCAGAACCAACAAAAGCAAAATAAATAAAAGCAGCATTAGAGCCAGCTGCACACCACTGTAATTCTAGCTACTCAGGAAGCTGAGAGCTAAGGATTGTTGCTGTTCAAAGAAAACTGAAGAAAATCAGTGAGACTCTTATCTTCAATAAACTACCAAAAAGCTGGAGGTGGTGCTGTGGCTCAAGTGATAGAGCATGGGCCTTAAACAAAAAGCTCAGGAACAGCACCCAGTCCCTGAACTCAAGCCTCAGAACCAATACAGATAAACAGATTCAGTATTAGACGAAAACTCCTATTTCAAACAGGCAAAATGGTTGTTTCAGTGGCTAAGAAGTAAATATAAGAGCCTTCACATTGAAATCTTGATACTTTCCGATTCATTTCAACTTACCTTTCGAAGTTTATTCAAGCTAGGGAGCCGGGCCAGTGAACTTAATTTCACATTAGCCATACTCAGAAACTCTAGTTCTTTAAAAGTGTCATTCAGGCCTTCAATTTCCCCATTGACACACAGGCAATTATCAAGGACTAACTCTGTTACCTGTAAAAGGAAAGAAACACTTTAATGATTAATTTGCAATCTGTTTAGTAATAGAACTGGGCTTTGACACTCTGAAACTGTGAATATTAAAATACCAAACTCATCTGGGCACTAGTGACTTGCACTGGTAATCCTAGCTATTCAGGAGGCTGAGATCTAATGATTGAAGTTCAAAACCAGTTCAAAGTCCATGAGACTCTAATTTCCAAATTAATCAGCAGAAAAATGGAAGTGACGCTGTGGCTCAAAGTTGTAGAACACTAGCTTTGAGCAAAAGAGCTCAAGGACAGTGCATAGACCCTGAGTTCAAGCCGCAAGACCAACAATAACAAACCCAAAGTTAGTGTGGTGGCTCACACCTACAATTCCAGCACCCTGAAGATACATTACAAGTTTTAGGCCAGACTGAACTACAAAATAAGTTCTAGACCAGTCTAGGCTATAGGATTAAAGCCTGTCTCAAAGAAACAAGACCCCTAAGCCAGGTTCAGTACAGTATTACACATTTGTAGTTTTAACTATTCAAGGAATGGAAAGAGAAGGATCACTTGAGACCTCAAGTTTGAGGCCAGCCTGAGCAACACAGCAAGACCACATCTCAAAAAACTGAACAAAATCTACTTATATATTCATCCCCCTTCAAAATTGAAACATAATCTAGTCCTCACTATAAGCAAACTGCCTCACATGTTCAACCTAATATGCTTTAAATCGCTGAGACATGAAAAATAAAACTGGCTGGGTATTGGTGGTTCACGCCACCTGTAATCCTAGCTACTCAGGAAGCTGAGATCCTCAGATCTCAGTTTGAAGTCAGCCTGGATAAGAAAGTCTATGAGACTCATCTCCAGTTAATTTCCTTAGGGGAAAGGGGGGGCACTAGTGTCTCATACCTGTAACCTGGGCAACTCTGAAGGCAGAGATCTGAGGATCACAGTTAAAAAATAACTCTGGGTGGGGCTGGGAAGGTGGCTGAGTGGTAGAGTGCTTGCATGAGGCCCTGGGTTTAATTCCTCAGCACCACATAAGCAGAAAAAGCTGGAAGTGGTGCTGTGGCTCAAGTGGTAGAGCACTAGCCTTGAGCTGAAGAGCTGAAGGACAGTGCCCAGGCCCAGAGGTCAGGCCCCACAACTGACCAAAAAATAAAATAATAATAATAATAATAATAATAACCCTGGGTAAGAAAGTTCATGAGACTCTAACTTCCAATAAACAGCAAGCAAGCAAGAAGGGAGGGAGGAAGGAAGGAAGGAAGAAAGGAGGAAGGAAGGAAGGAAGGAAGGAAGGAAGGAAGGAAGGAAGGAAGGAAGGAAGGAAGGAAGGAAGGAAGGAAGGAAAGTAGAGCTGGGCTAGTCTTGAGCAAAAAAACAGGGATAGCACAAAAATAAACAGGGAGGAATCTGGTGACTCAAGCCTGTAATCTTAAGCTACACAGGAGGCTGAGATCTGAGGATCAAGTTTCTTAGCCAGCCAGGCAGGGAAGTCCAGAGACTCTTATCTCCAATTAATCTCAGAAAAAGCCAGAAGTGGCTCTGTGGCTCCAAGGATAGAGCACTAGCCTTGAGCAAAAAGGCCACAAGGACAGTGCCCAGGCATAGAATTCCAGCCCCAGGATGGGCTAAATAAATAAGCGAGACTTTGAAAAAAGTCCCACGTGAATCAAGTTTGTGCACCGGTAACGAAGACATCTATGCAAGTAGAGGACACCAAAGCTACAGAGAAAAGATTTCTGTGGGCAATCCTAAAGTGTAGGGAGGGAGGAACTTTTATCATTATTTTAACTTTAAACCTCCTTATCTCTGGTTATAAATGCCACAACTCAGGAAAACTTTGTTACCATCCCGAAGAAAAGTCAGCAAGCTCCCTCCCAAATCAGCCCAGCTTCTCAGTGTTATCTGAGGCCAAACAATATCACCTAGAACAATACATCCTTGACAAAATGTTATTTCTTCTTGCCACTCTAGTAGCAATTTTGTGGGCTTTTCCCCACTCTTGGAGAAAGAAAGACTAAATTCCCTGTAAGGCCAGAGTGGCAGCAGACATTTAACTGGTGTGAGCTTGAATGGACTTAAGAGGGAGGCAAGAGACTCTGGTTCTTTATCCCAATACAAAAATGTTTACTTAGGTGCTAAAAAGTAGCAACAAGGGCCGCCATCTTCTCTATTTGAGTATGACTTGGATAGAATTGTTTCAGTGAACGGAGATAGATAGCATCATGATCTCCCTTTTAGAGATGCCGAAGCCAAGGTCCAGAAAGCAAGAGTGACTTGCCTTAGGTCACATAATTAGTGTGTGACAAAGCTGTGCCTTGACTCTTAAGTCTTTCTATTCCCAGTATTTTGAGCTCATTGGCAAGGCTATTAGATCTGCTGTCAGAAAACCAGTTCTTCCACTTGAGTAAATCACTTCATTACCCTGAAACTCCGTTTGCTAATTTGGATTCTAGAACAATACAACCCACCTTACAAGTTTGTCCAAAAGAGAAAAGTAAATAAACTCGACAAGTGCTTTGTAAACTGTCTACACAAATATGAGACCGTTATTACACCACATCGGAGGCAGAGGGAGCCTGAGAAACAGGCAAGGTCCTGCAATCCCTAAAACTGGCAAGGAAATGACTACCGTAAAGGAGTCAGGGGGCGGGGAGGGAGGGGAATCCATTTTTCCACCCAAAGACTTTTTTTTTTTTTAATTGAAATGTATGATTCTAAGAAATAGCTTTTAAAGCGTTTGAGGGTGTTTTCTCTCTCTCTCTCTCTCCCCCTACCCCCCAAAGCCCCAAGAAATAAGCAGGAGCCAACAAGTTCTCTCTTGGATAACCCTTGATGTCAAAGGCTATTTCTTCCCTCCCGCTCCCCGCCAATTTCAGAGAAAGATCCCTTTCCCTCACCCCACCCCCCAAAAAGTACAAAAAGATCTGGAGTTCCCATTCCGCACACTGGACGCAAGAGCCTGGCAGACCCTACGGATCCTTTGATCCTTTCCGCAGGTTGGTGCTCGCAGCCAGACTTGTAGATTGGATAGATAGATAGATAGATAGATAGATAGATAGATAGATAGATAGATAGATAGATAGATAGATAGATAGATAGATAGATAGATAGATAGATAGATAGATAGATCCGTCTTCTTGCAATCCTAAGGCTTGTTTCCGGAGTGGCCAACTAGCCAGACTCTAGTTCCCAGCCTCCTGACCACGAGCGCGAGGCCGGGCCGGCCGTGCGCCCCGGTCTGCAGACCTGCCGCCCCTACCCACCGCGATCCCACACCGGGCGGGGACTCCCCATGGGAAAGAGGGTGCCCCCGGCCCGGCCCGAGCCAGCGTTTCCCGCGGCCTCCGCCCCGGCTGGGTGAGGCCGAGGAAGAGCCCGCGAGGCTGACACGGAAACGCCTCCCACTGGACCCCCGAAAAGTTGACTGCGTCCCCGCCTCACGCGGCCCCTCCCAAGCCCGACTCTTTAACTAGGGAGACCGCCGCGAGAGCGCCGTCCTGCAGTTCCGCCGGGCCCACCTGGGGAGCGCAGACCCGCCACGACCCCCATCTCCCGACTCCACGGATCAAATCCCGAGTTGTGGCCGCCACACCACGCCACACGCCGAAAACCGAACATCGTTCCCGGCGGCGGCGGCGGCGGCGGCGGGGGGAAGTGGGGGAGGGAGGGAGCGGATGACGCCTCGTGTCCGCTTCCCCACCTCTCCGGTCACCGCGACCGGTCCCAGAACTCACCCCGCCGTGCGGGGACGCGCCGCTGACCCAGATTCCGCGGGTGGCGGCCGGCGCGCGCCGCTTCCCCGGGACAGTGGGCGCCGCCGCAGCGCGCGGCGCGGGGACTCGGCCGGCGACCCCAGCCCGGGCCCGGGGCGACGCCCGACATCCCCGAGCCTCGGGATCGGGGCGCCCACCCCCACCCCCCGGGAGCCCCGAGTTGGCAGCATCGCGGAAAAGTTGGAGTAACTTCTCAGGTGGCGATGGCCGCAGCAGCAGGGGCCGGTGGGCTGGGGGTCGCGCCCACGCCGGCGGCCCCCGAGCCGGAGCGAGCGCAGCGCAGCGCAGCGGCCGGGCGCCCCCACACCACCCTTTTCCCGCCCCCATCAGGCCGGGACGCACGGCTCCCCGAGAACCCAAGAGGCTAAGCCCCCGGGCACACACACAAAAACGCCCCTAGAAACTTAAGCCCTTCGCCATTTTAAGTAGAGGAGGTCTTAATGATTTAAAACTTAGAATTAAGCATTTCCTCCCACCTCCTCCACCCTAGGTGAGGATTAATTTATTAACCCTCCCCTCAAACGCTTACAGATAAGATACCCCCCAAAAAAAAACCCAACCCCCAGAATATAGGGCTGGTGGGGAAGGGGTGGGGGCTGAGTCATCTCACCTCCTCCGGGGCTCTGTTCCGTAACTCCAGACTAATCCTCTTCTTCATCTCCATGTCCTCCTGCTTTTCTGCTGCTACTCTCCTCCTTCACCCCCTTTTCCACTACCCCCAACCCTAAAAAAATTTATTTTTAAGATCTGGAAATGAATGAAAAGAAAAGCAAAATACAAACGCCCACAACCACCAAATAGGTGTAGAGGAGAAAGAAAAGAATAGCAAATGGAGTCCAAGGAGTTAGGACTCTTAACTCGGCTGCCCCCACCTCCTTGTCCACACACCCGCGCGCGCGCACACACGCACGCACGCACACACACACACCACACACACACACTCCCGCAGTTCCTTCCCCTTCAATGGCTGCTCCGAGACTGAGCCTCCATGACACGGCACTGCCAACCCCCTGGCCAATACTCCACCCACCTCCCGAATGTATTGGTGGATTTTTCGGTGTCACGCTATTCCATTGGGCTAGGTGGATGCCTGTCACTCTTTAGGGTAGACCTGGGCCAGAAACCTTGCATCTATTGGCCACGATCAAGCGCGCAGTTAACTCGGATAGGTTCGGGACAATGTACGTCCCAGGGAAATGATTTTGAATCCCTGTAGCCCCCCTCCTTTTCTTTGTGTGGTTGGCGCGCTTTCCCTAGGTACTTAGAGGGGCTTAGGTGCCTCCGTTGGATTTGTTTTGGGTTTGGTTTGTTTTCTCTTCTGGTTTTAGAGAAAGCAGGCATCCTGGTGTGCCCAACTTGTAAGACTGGTAATTTAGCACTGGGCAGCCAGTAGCTCTTGGATGTTTTAAAGCCGTGTCTGCCTTGCAGTCAAGGTGTAAGCTGCGTGCACATCCCGTTAAAGCCTGACTTTGTTGCTCTTCCTTGCTGGTGACCGGCTTTTCACCCAGATTGCCCCTCCGCGGTGCAGAACCACAGCCAGAATGAAGATGGTATTTTAACTTCCACTCTGAAAGCACTTTTGAAAGCAGTTGAGTGAAGCATTTAAGTTAGGATTTCAAAACCATCCTGGTGGACTTAATAGGGAAGAATTGTTGCTGGTAAGAAAATGGCTGAGACCGGGGGGGGGGGGGGGGGGGGGGGGGAGATGGGACACAATTCATGCCTAATGAAACTCAAGCAATTCTCAGAAACCGCCCAGCAATATCTCTCTGACTTCCCTTTGGTTAGTTTCCATAAATATGTGTGGATAAAATGTGCGCTTAAAATCCATGTGGTGTATATCAAAGAGATGAAACTGGGCACTACTGGCTCACGCCTGTAATCCTAGCTACCCCGAGGCTGAGATCTGAGGGTTGTGGTTCAAAGCAAGTTCCTGAGACTCACTCATCTCCAATTAGCCCCCTAAAAAACAGGAAGTGGAGCTGTGACTCAAAGTAGTGGAGCCTTATTCTTCACCCAAAAAGCTCAAGGACAGCACCCAGGCCCTGAGTTCAAGCCCCCTGACCAGTAAAAAGAAGAAGAAAATGGAAAAGAAAAAGAGTGAGATGAGAGTGGTATGTGTGGGTACCAGTCCTCACTGTCCCTGAGCTTTTTTATGCTCAAGGATGATGCTCTACCACTTGAGCCACAGTGTCACTTCTAGCTTTAGTAATTAATTAGATAAGTGTCTCCTGGACTTCCCTGCCTAGGCTGGCTTCAACTGCAATCCTCAGATCTCAGCCTCCTTAGTAGCTAGGATTACAGACTTGAGCCACCAGTGCCTGGTGAGAATTGTTTTTTAAATCTTATATTCAATGTCTTTTTCTTAGTACTTGCATAAACTCTATCTTCATTCTATTACACCATTCTTAGGATAATTACTCAAAGAAATTCCAGATGATCAGGAAAAGAAGTAAATGATTTAGATTCTAGTGTGGCCAAAACTGAGTGTTTGCCGTTTGTCTAGGTAGAGACTTTTGGCTTTCCAACAAACTTCATCACATCATAACTTCATCAAATCAAAAATGGCTTACATTTAATAATATAAATAATGACTGGCACCTTTAGGGAGTTGGGTGTGTATGTCTGTGTGTTTTCATTGCTAACAATGCTAAAGAAAGCCTGGATGATACAAAAACTGAACCAACATGAACCCAGGAGCAAGTTCAAAGAAAAGTTCAAAAGCTAAGGAACAGCTGGGCACTCAGGAGGCTGAGGCAGTAAGTTCAAGATTCTAATATAAGCTGAGTGCCGGTGGCTCACATGTGTAATTCTAGCTACTCAGGAGGCTGAGATCTGAGGATCACTGTTCAAAGCCAGCCTGGGCAGGAAAAGGCCATGAGACAATTATTTCCAATATACCACTAGAAAACCGGAAGTGGCATTGTGGCTTAAGAGGTAGAGAGCTAGCTGAAGAGCTGAAATATAGTACCCAGGTCCAGAGTTCAAGCCCCACAACTGACAGAAAAAGAAAAAGATTCACGTATACAGAGCAAGTTCAAGGCCAGCTTAGGCTACCTACTAAGGCATTGTCTCAAAAGAATAAAAATGAAGGAAACACATTTTAGTACTAGCCTGGGAATTCGTTCAGAGTTCTGATACTATCTGCCATTGCAAGAAGAAAAAAAAAAATCAAAGAGTTCAGAAAAGGAGATTTAGACCTGAATCACTGGCATGCAAGTAATAGTTGAGGCCAGGAAAAAGAAAAAAAAAACCAGAGGGAATGTGTACAGTGTACAGTAAGACTAATCAGGAAAAGGAGAGTTAAACATAGTTGATAGGAGAAAAAGAAGAAGGAAGAATTATTTACCAAACTACTCAAAAAGACTGAGTTGGTAAGGAGGAGAAGAAGAAACATATAGGACCAGAATCCATGACTCACACCTGTAATCCTAGCTACTCAAGAGTCTGAGACAAAGGAGGCTACAATGCTTGATAAGAAATGTACTCATTATCTTGCCCATGTAATTGTAACTCCTCTGTACAGTATTTTCTTTCTTTTTTTTTTTTTTTGGTCCGGTCGTGGGGCTTGAACTCTGGGCCTGGGCGCTGTCCCTCAGCTCTTCAGCTCAAGGCTAGCGCTCTACCACTTGATCCACAGCGCCACTTCTGGCTTTTTTCTTTTTGCTTATGTGGTGCTGAGGAATCGAACCCAGGGCCTCGAGCATGCAAGGCAAGCGCTCTACCACTGAACCACCTTCCCAGCCCCTGTACAGTATTTTCACAATAAAAAATAAATAAAAATTAAAAAAAAAAGTTTGAGATGAGGATTGTGGTTCAAAGCCAGCCTGGGCAGGAAAGTCCCTGTGAGACTCTAAACTCCAATTAAACACTCAGAAACTGGAAGTGGCACTATGGCTCAAGTAGTTGAACACTGGGCTTGAGCACAAGGAGGTTCAGGAGTAGCACCCATGCCCTGAGTTCAAGCCCCACAACCAACCAAAAAGAAAAAAAGAAAAGAAATATATCATAATAGCATAAACAGGGATCCACCAAAGTATGATTTCCTCTCCTTACTATTATTCCTCCCCACCATTATTTTATCTATCATCTAAATTACTTTATTATCTTAAAATTTATGTTTCTACTTTGAAATACTAGTTATTTTGAAGCAGGTTTTAGATTACCATGAAACCAAATAAAACCCATCTATGAGCTGACTTTGATCACCACTGGTCAGCCTCTAGTCTATATACACTCTGAGAGGGATTCAAAAAAAAGGTTTAAGAGACCTGTGCTGGTGTAATCCTAGCTACTCAGGAGGCTGAGATCTGAGGATCGAGGTTCAAAGTCAGCAATGGCAGGAAAGTCCACATAAGACTCTTATCTCCAATTAACCACTAAAAAAAAAACCCTGAAGTGGAGCTGTGGCTCAAGTGGTAGAGTATTAGCATTGAGCAAAACTGCACAAAATGTATGTATTCCTCTTTTCTTCTTTCTTCCCTGGGGCCTGACCCCAGGCCTCTTGGTCTCCATCTTGGGACAGAACCTCCTATGATTGCCCAGCGGTGGGAATCTGAGCTGAGTAGAGTCTGTACTCTTCTATAAGAATTCTGTATAACTCAATTGTGGAATCATTATTAAACAAACTGGAATACTGCCATCAAGGAAAAAAAAAAAATTTATGTTTCTAGAACAGGGCTTGATAGCTATTTGGAAGGCTGAAATACAATGGATTGAAGCTGGGTGCCAGTAGCTCCTGCCTATAATCCTAGCTATTGAAGAGGCTGAGGTCTGAGGATCTCAGTTCAAAGCCAGCCCGGGCAAGAAAGTCCTTGAGACTCTTATCTCCAATTAACCATCAGAAAACCAGAAGTATTGCTGTGGCTCAAGTGGTAGAGTGCTTGCCTTGAGCTGAAGGGCTCAGAGACATCACAGAGGCCCAGAGTTCAATCCCCATTGTCAAAAAAAAAAAAAAAAAAAACAAAAAGGATGAAGGCTAGAGACTAGCCCAAGCAAAGAGTTTGCTAGACTCCATCTCAGCCAGTAAAAACCTGGGGGGAAAAAGCTTGTCATTTCAGAAGTGTAAATAAGATTGTATGGGGAGGGGGAGGGGAGGAAAACAGGATTCTATCCTAAATTTAACTAAAACAAGAGAAGCTGAGGAAGTGGCTCAAGTGGAAGAACACCTTCCTAACAAGCAACAAGACTCTTGAGTTCAAACCCTAGAGCCTAATCTCTCAAATACATGTATGCATGTTATGTATATATGCATATTTTTACCTCTTTCCAGTTTTAACCAAGAAGCCAGTGTAAAGGAGGGTTAGTTCAGTAGTACCACACTTCTCTAGAATGTATGAGAGCCTAGGTTGAATCCCCAGACCCACTTTTTTAAAAAGTCAAGATAAATTAGTTTCTGAGGAAGGAAAGTCCCCATAGGACTGGTAACTATAAGAAAGATGTCTACAAAGTGAATGGATGAAAAATATTACCAGACTATAAGACGGTTGGTTCCTAGAATTAAAATGAAGGTGGAAGAGTAAAATATGTTCAGGAGAAAAGCCAATTCATGAACTAGAGCATGTTTTAAGATGAAATAATACTAGCCAAGTCTTAAATGGTAGACTAAAGAATGAGGTTAAATGATCAGAAGGTCAATGGAATGGATGAGTGGGGAGGGTGGTTCCGAAGACTCCTTTAATCCACTAACAAGAAGCAGACATCAGCATATTATCAAACTCAACATTTTTCAACATTCAGAAACTGAGCTCATCCTCAGCCTCTGGATATCTTGCTTGTCCCTGGAGATCCTTTTTTCCCCCTTCTCTACCCTGTTCTATAACCCAAAACCCATATGAGCTGTATCAAGTCACATAGCTTCCTGGGTTTGGCCTTGGTAGGAAATCTCAAGTCAAGAGGCGAGTGAGATTGGAATATGTATTTCCCCAGCTTCCTCTCTGCCAGATCATTACAAAATGGCTGAAGGTGTCTAGTGAAAACCACAGATCTTGTTGGTGGTACATT